GATTTCTAGATGGTCTTGAATGCAAACCAACCTCTATGGCCTGACCTAGCTTACGGGCCCATATTCTAGGAATTGGAAAAATACAGAATGACTAGAGTAGATGGTGTAGAAAAAGGAGTGCAAAGTGAAGAAGTAAGCAAGGGTGAGCTCATGACTACATTTGCACATTTCAGTCAGCATGTTCATTTTGGAGATGGTGGGAAAACCATGAAGTAATTTAGAAAAACATTCTGGGGCGATATTTGGATTTCAAAATAATCAATAATGGCAGGGTGAGATGCAATCAGAAAAAAAAGGGCTTATCTAGTGACACAGGTGAGCGATGATGACCTGAATGTCTGGTGGTTGAAACATTCAGAGGAACTCCAGGTCTTCTGGCTGCACAACAAAATGAATAGTGGTTGAATTCTCTAAGATAACATAGAGCACAAGAGAGAAGTAGGTTTCAGTGAGATAGAGTTAAGTTTGGAGGATGTTGTATTTAAGAGGCCATAAAAGCAACATAGCCAAGAGTGGATATGTGCTTAAAAATAGAAAAACAATGAAGTTACCTATGACTATGAAATATCAAGGATGAAAACAAGGTGATGGAGATGAGGAAACACAACCTTAAAGTATGTGATTCAGGAAAGCATGGTAAGCTATAACTGAAGCAATGTATGATGCAAAATTTTAATTAAGAAAATGAAGGCTATTATAAACTCCATTGTCACCATCAGCAAATCTATTTTCTACAAATATTTCTCATGAAATGCGAGTACTCATTTAGTGTGTGTCTGGGCCAGGGGGTGGCTGGTTGAAAAGAAAATGTGGTATTTTAAGCTAAAGAGACTCATGGAAAATTTAATCATTTAATAAAATGTGGTAACTGGACACTCTAGCCTTCTGAGAATTTGATGAAACAAATGTGCCTGCTCCTGATATACAAGGGACATGGTTCACCTCAGGCATCTGGCACAAGCCACAGGTAATGTGATGTAAGCACTTCTTTCTCTGCAAAGAAAATGCATCTAAATAAAGTATGAAAAAACTGTCTCAACACAGTAGACATGTAATCACTTTGAGTTCAAACTAAATGTGTCAATCTGGAAAAAGATGTACTGGCAGATTTCTTTTCCTTCATTAAGCAATGACCTAGTGTAGAACAATGCACTGCTTACAGCAGCTGTCTCATTCTTGATATCACAAGCAAAGTTTAAAAACACTGTCTATAATGTAAATGTATGTGCCCTAGACCAGGTTACCATAAATACATCCAATAAGCATACCTGTCATGCTTCCCATTTTTTTCTACACAATTTATTTTAAAAAAATTATAGCAAAATCTATGATTTCACTACAGCTAATGTGTTTGTGCATATGAACTGACATTGGGTACAGCAATGAGGCTATATACCACATCTAACACAAGTACATTTCTTGTTTGTATTTCAAACATAGAGACCCATGCATAATACACACACACACACACACAAAAAAAAAAACAGGTAACTGAACAATGTTTCTTTAAATGTTCTGGATTCCATAGATTGGTATTATTCTCTAAGAGTTCACAAAAAAAATTAAGATGGATACATTATAAATATAAATTTAGGGGGCTGGGGTTGGGTGGTGGGTAGGAGCCTCAGCACCACATGAAAGTAAATAAACAAAATAGGGGTTTGCTTCCATCTACAACTAAAAAAAATCTTTTTCTATCCTGTGCTTTGTGTTCAATGACTTCCCTGAATTGGTAAGAAATGAGGTACTTTTTTGAACTTCACACTGGGCTATAGAATGCAAAGAAAAATTAAACAAAACAAGGTACCCAGTTGTGGCAACCTTCAAACACAGTATTGAAACTACTGGTCTATTGACTACCAGTTTTCACTATATGAAACATTTTGGGGGTTGCAACTATATGTTTTTAACCTATCCTAGTAGTATCTCAAAAAATTTTGACTGAATGTATGAATAAATGATATTAACAGAAAGTTGAATATAAAATTTAGATATCTTTAATTAACTATAAAATCTGAATGGAGATTTGGATACACAAAAATATGTGTTCAAATCTTATCTTGGGGAAGCACACACCCCTATAATTCCAGTGGCTCAGGAGGCTGAGGACGAGGGTCGAAAGGACAGCCTCAGCAACTTAGTTAGCAACCTAGTGAGACCCTGTCTCAAAATTCAACAAATAAAATAAAAATTAAAATAGTTCTGGGAATGTGGCTCAATGGTAAAAACCCCTCTGAGTTCAATCTACTACCACACACACACACAAAAAAAAAAATCATAAATTACATGATTTTGAACTCCATCTGAGTGTAGTTTCCCATCTGAAAAAAAAGGGCAAACACCTATGTATTTCATAGTATCTATAAAGGCAAAATTAGGTAATAAATATAAAAGTCCTTTGTATGTATTTAAAAAATGCTATCTGAGCTAGGTGTGGTGGTGCATGCCTTTAATCCCAGTGGCTTGGGAGGTTGAGGCAGGACAATCTCGAGTTCAAAGCCAGACACAGCAAAAGCAAGGCACTAAGCAACTCAGTGAGACCCATCTCTAAATAAAACATACAAAGTAGGGCTACAGATTGGCTCAGTGGCCTATTGCCCCTGAGTTCAATCCCCAATACCAAAAAAAAAAAAAAAAGATATCTGCTGTTATTATTCTACATTATATACATGTAAGAAATACATGCATGCAATTTACAAAATCTTTTAAGAGGCAACATGACAATTTACATTTAAAATATTCCCCCAAATTAAATGAAGCTTAACATTTCTCTTTAGCCTACAAATAAACTCAACCAAAAATGGATATATATCTTCCTTCAAGATGCAGCTCTAGCTTTTTCTCAAGCAAATATTGTCAAAGAATGGACACCTATGCCTCCTCTTCCTCAACGCACCAACATCTGACCTGGCCACCACTGCCTGCAAAACAGCTTCAATACAGCCAAGCCATTAATTTTTCTTCTCAGCTTTTTCTTTATTTTATACCTGAATATTTCTTTTTGAGCACCTCTCATAACTAGGTTGGCTCCTTCAAAACAGCAAAACCCTACTTCTATAATTATTTTTTGTAACTGGCTCAGCTTTTTGTTCTTCAAATGCAGGTGTTATATGAGATTCCATCCTTGCACCTCTTTTTTGCTCACCCTATTTTTTTCTTAGATGATCAACTTGCTCCAACAGATTCAGGCATCATCTTGGCATAGCCAACTTCTAAATCCATGTGTTTGTCTCAAGGTACCTTCGAAATATTTCCATCTGCATGGTCTTCATTCTGTTTGAAGTGAAACTCACTACCTTTTTCCCTTCTCCAAAACCTCCTCCCTTCCTTTGTTACCACTCATGGTAGTTACTACTCATGGTAGTTAGCGGAACAAAAATTCTAGAGTCATCAATTCTCCACTCTTCCTCCCTTCTCATTTCCATGATCTATTCACATAATCTATTGATTCCATCTGTGAAGTGTCTCTCTAATGCATCTACTCTCTCCATTTTTAACTTCTACCATCTTCATTGGGGCTTAGTTATTTCTTTTTTTTTTTTTTTTAAATATATTCACTGCCTCTTACCTAGTTTCTCTGGTTTGGGTCTCTCAAAATTTGAATCCGTCCTGTGAATGGATGACAAGGAAATTAAATGACACTCCTCTACTTTTGATGGAGTAATGTAGATGACAAGAAAGTAGATGACACTCCTCTACTTTTGATGCTCACACACTATCTGGAAAATAAAGTCCAAACTCTTTGACGTGGCATTTGGGACCCTGCTAATCTATTTCAAACCTGTTTTCCACTCCTAACTCAGGCAAACTGTTCTATCTCTAGAACATGTTATAAACTAAATGCCCTGGATTATGGTGTTCCCTGTTCCTATTAGGGTTGTTCTTCATTTGGAGTCTATTCATATGTTATTTTCTCTGTAATACTGTCTGTGTCTTGCCTTCTCTCATACCCTTCCTTCTGTTATTAAAAGTACATTTTAGTTATAGAAAGTGTTCATCTCCTCTCCTGCAGTAGACCCAAAAGGAAAAGTCTTACTCATTTTGATGCACTTTGGTAGCACAATATCTGACAAAGAGAGTCTATCCACTAAATACTAAACTGAGCAGACCTATTCCTCATTTCAATAGGCTATACCAAAGAATCATTCTCATCTGTAAAACATCATACTGATTACTTTGTCAGTTATCATTATAATGTCTTTCTTTCTTGTATTGAGGATTGAACCCTTGGTGCTTTACCACTGAACTGTATCCCCAGCCATTTTATTTTTCATTTTGAGACAGGGTCTCACTGAGTTGCTAAAGGCCTCACATAATTGCTGAGGCTGACTTTTTACTTGTTCTCAGGTCCTGTCTCAGCCTCCCCAGTCACTGCAGTTAGCATTAGAGTTAAATGAAAATCATTTGGCTTTCATAATAATTGGGAAAATGTACCCTAAAGATGAATTATCCATTGTAATCTTCTTGGTTTTACATAGTTAGCTAAATTTCTCTCTTGCAGTCAGTTTGGAAGGACACAGGGAAGTTATTCAAAAATCCAATCAAATGTCTGCAAAATACGCAGAAACAAAATATAAAACCTTTACTAGCACTGTTAGAATACCAAGGTAAGAGTCATAATGCCTACGAATTTTTTGCATATTAAAAAGCTAAAGATGTTGTAAAGTCTAAACATAATATTACTTCAATGAAAAGTAACCTTAGAGAAATTGCATATATGCTAAAGGGGCAGTGTTAAATCAATATCATAAAATATTTTTGTGTAACTCTTAAAAATAATCAAATAAATACTATTATAATAAAATTTCCTTCAACCTTGCTCTATTACTATGTGTGAGGTGTCAGTAAAATATATCCTGTGGGCAAAATGTGGCTCCTCACCTGTTTTTTGTTTTTTAAAAAAAGTTTAATTGGCACACAAACACACTCACTTCTGTTCTGTCAGAGTATGATTCTGCTCCATATTGGCAAAGGTGAGTAATTGAGACAGAGACTGAATATCACACAAAACACAAAATATTTATTATCTGGCCCTCTAAAGAAAAATCTGGTCAACTCTACTATAGACAGAAGTTGGAAATCTATCTGAAAACTAATCTAATTTGTATACTGTGTATTTTTTTATCATAGAATTTAGAATCTTTATGCAAAGATGTCATTTCAACAAATTTTTTAAAAAAGGCATAAAGATGATAGAAATGTATAGATATCAAGTATATAATAAACACAAAAAACTTACAGGATTTTAAAAAACTATATCAATTTATTTTAGTTCTTTTAATATAAACCTGCCTGATTATTCACTAACTAGGAAAAGGAATGGCTCATTTTTATAATGGAATATGTTACTGAAAAAGAACTTTTCTACTACCTATGGTCTCAATAAAAGAGAAAAACCAATTCTTTTTATAGGAATAAAAGGGTAAAATTAAGTATACTTAATTTTTTTTTTAAGTGAGGGGAGGAAAAAGGCTAGAAGAGGAAGAAGAAGAGAGGAAAAGAAAGAAGGAGAAAGAGAGGGAGTCAGAGAACGAGGCAAGAGAGACTGGAGAGGGAAGGGAGAACCCAGTACCTCATTCTCTAATCGATATGAAGCCAATCTGTGTGTCAAAATTAAGGCCATCTCGGACATGGGAGAAAAATTTGTCAGGATGGCAAGATGTACAAAGGTTGAGATTCTGGTTCAGGTCGTGAATATTCTGTGGAAGAATTCCTTCTTGTTCTAGAAAAATCCTTAAGATAAAGATTTTTCAAAAGAGAGAAAGCATTTATTTTACCAAATGCCAAAGAAATACGAAAACAGTATGTACAACGATGTAAAAGAGTTCTATAAAAAATCTAGTAGGAATAAGGCAAATTATTACTTATGTTCACAACAAGGAATAGCTAAGAAATGGTAGATTTTTATCACCTAAGTTTATGAATGAACTGTATGAACTTCCATACTGTCCTGTAGACATAATCTAGTTACAGAATTTTATAATCAAAATCAAGGGCTTATTTAAGAAGAAATTTTTCAAACTACAAGATTATTTTTAACCAAGATTCATTTGGTTTAGACAGAGTGTGCTTTTTAGTCATCTAACGGTCTGGTCTTCTTTCCTCTTAATTAGCCGTATTTTTCACTGAAAACTTGCTTCCCTATAAAACTTGAAATGTGAATGAAAATTAGTGATATTATTTGACAAGTCAAATCAAGAATCAATTCCAATTCTTTATACTTAGGTATTAAATGACTAAGGTTTTACTGACTAGAATAGGAACACAATTCAAATCAGCTATCAATTTTCCTTTGTAGAAATAACAAATAGTTTTCAATAGATATTAAAAGCAAAATTTTTTAAATTCAAGATGCATGAGACCACAAAAAAGAAAAGTGACTGTGTATTTATGTTACCTAATATTTTTTGAAGACATATATCCTTCCAATTAATTAGAAAATATGAACAATTTTAAAATATTAGCTTTCCAAATGCTTTTATATTCTAGAGAGTTTACCCAAGGAATGACTGTAATGTCAAGTAAATGCTAGTTAAGTTTAAGTAGAAATTGAATCTTTTTCAAGGCCAACTGCTTCTTCCTTCACTTTCAAATCAATGAGAGATACCAGACAAGAAATTTTATGTCATTTGCACATGTTGAGAATAGATTTTATATTTAAAATGAGTTTTTGTGTAGTGTATATTGCAGGGTATATCTGCCACCTGTCTTCTTGGAGTTAGCACCTGGTCTCTAAAATAATTTTCATTTCAGAAGCAATGAACAATAATCAAACTTGCAGTTCCACAGTGAAAATCAAACATACCTGGTAGCTTTAGGGATTGTCAATATGGGGTCTGGGTGAGTTAAAAAGTCACAGGCATTCAGGATGAAGATTATGAAATGCGTTTGCTGATTCCCTGGGAAGAGTAAAACAGCAAGGTCCTACTGAAGGTCCCAGTACAACAATAATGTCTTCTAAGCTACAGCCATATTCTGCTATCACAGCATCCACTGTAGCCATAGCAAACCTAATAAAGTACCTCGCAGGCCTGGAAAATAGGAAGAAAAAGAGATAAGGAAGATTAAAACATAAAATTTCAACTCAATTTGTGCCTAAGTTAAAAATGAATAGATTCAGCTTCTGATTCACATAATTATTACACATAGTACTTTTTCCAAAGTGTGATGTACTTTTATAAAATATGTGACACACATAGTTATTTAATAGGAGTCACTGTCCTCTTCCTTTAAAAACTGTGTTCTATAAGCTTCATTTATACCATCTTAGTCTTCTCTCTTTACAAATTATTAATTGTGGTAAGAAACATATAAAATGTACCATTTTAAGTATACAATTCAGTAGTATTAAGTATATTTACCAATCTCCTGCAGAACTTTTTTATTCTGCAAATCTGAATCTCTACATCCATTTAATAACTAATTTCTCCCCTCCCTCAGTCTGTAGCATCACAATTCTTCTTTGTTTCTACAAATTTTATTATTCTAGATATTCCTACAACTGAAATCACATAGTTTTTATCTTTTGGGAAGTGGTTTATTTTATTTAGCATAACAATGTCAAGGCTCACCCATGATGTATTGTGTCAGAATTTCCTACCTTTTTAAGGCTAAATAATATTCCATTGTGGTATACCACAATTTGTTCATGCATTCACCTATCACTGGATATTTAGTTTGCTTCCACCTCTTAGGTATTATGAATAATGCTGCTATGAACATGGGGCGGGATATGTCTTAGATTCTGCTTTCAATTCTTTTAAATGTATATTCAGATATATAGTTGATAAATCATATGGCAATTTTATTTTGAAATTTTGAGGAATTGCCATAGTGTTTTCAGAGCTGTGAGTCACTCAACATTGTTCCTTTTTTTTTTTTTTCCGGAGATTGTTGTAACTCTCAAGAATCCCTTTGAGATTCCAATGAAATTTTGGGATGGATTTATTTATTAAAAAAAAAAGTGCCTTTGGGATTTTACAGGGATTGCATAAATCTGTAGATCACTTTAGGTAATACTGACATCAATATTAAGTCCTCCAATCCATGAATATGGGATTTCTTACCATTTGTTTGTTTCTTCTTTCATTTCTTTCAGCAGTATTTTGTAGTTTTCATTTCTACCTCACTTTCTACACACAAAACAAGTCTACTTTCATTAACTTTCCCTTTTACAAACTTCCCTTCCTCTTTGTTGGATCCTGTGGAATTCTAGGATTAAACCATTTCCTTCGCTCCTACTTTCATCTACTTCTGGAAGACAAAAACCAAACACTGTTGCTTTTTTCCTTTGTTCCCTATATTGGGAGTTAGATTCAGCTGATTAAGCTGGACAGTGAGGAGCCCCCTTACTCCTTCCTTCAGCACTCCATATGTATATGCTTCTGAAACTAAGCACTCAGGAGAAGAGACTAATATTTCCAGATAAAGGAAGAAGATGATAAAAGCCACAAATATTTAAATGATAAATTAAACTCCTGTTGGGAACCCACTGGATATGTGGTTATGGGAAGAACAGAATGAAATATCAGATTCTAGGTGAGTAAGTGGATGGGCAATCAGTAGCCAAAATAGAAAACCAATGTGTTAAAGAAGGCAGTAGGAAAAACATATTGCATTTTTAACATGATGATTTTGAGTTACCTCTGAAATTAAAAGCAGTTATTTCAAAAGAAAGCAACTAGAAAAAAGCATTCTGAGCTAAAAAGAGATATTGTTGAGACTTTTATGTGGACAAGAGCATCTCTCTGCCTTGATTAATTATTCACACACCTATAATGTATTCATCCCCTATTTGTTTCTTTCCTGAAGGACATGCATAGGCAAATATATTCATCTGACTGAGGAATTTTTATTAAATTAATCATATAGAAGAATTTTATACTTTTTGATAGCTGATAAAATAATAAGTAAGTAAATCATCCAACTGTATCCTATTTCAAGGTTAATTTAAGTATAACGTGAAAGTTCACTTTTATAACTTCATTTTGACTGCTTCATCTTAGAGATCTTAAAACTAAACATTTCAAAACATTATTAGTTAATATTTCCTTTTTAAAACCAAGAACTGAGATGCAAAACTTAAACAACTTTTGACAATGTCATATGATAAACATGACTTCTCAACCAATTCCATTAATTAGCTAGGTCAGAAGAAAAATATGTCACTTTCTTCTCTACAGTCTAAATATCAATGTAGTCACAGATTTACAAGTAATAAGGAATTCAAAACATCAGTTCTCATTTCACATAGAATCATAACCACAGGATAATCTAAATATTATTTTCAAATACCTTCCCGCACAAAAAAAAAAAAAAAAAACTATACCTTAGTATAGCATCTTAAATTGCATCTGTGCTCTTCGGCAACAGTTATAGTTAAACACATGTAGTCATTTAAACTATATGCAGTTTGCAAACATGTCTTCCTTTTTTAAACTCCATACTTTTACATGGGCTGCTGCATCTGTGTGAATTCCTTTGTACACCATGCCTGACATTCCTACTCCCTGGTGCCTGGGAGTTCCAAGGGTTCCCAAATAGAGGCAACACCATGTCTCTAGGCAGTACTTAGACAAGCATGGAGGGTTGCTGTTTGATTATTGCAATGACTGGAGGTGCTACTGGCTTTAAGAATTGCAAGGGCCAAAGATACTTTCAAGGTCACAGTAGAATTATCTTACCCCCTAATGTTAATAATATCCTCGCTTACAAACACTGACACTGAACCAAAACCTAAAGACTCCTCAGGAATCTACCTAGGGACCATCTCCTTTGGGAATTCTACTCTAATTCATATCATTTGACTTATATATTCCCTTTATCTGCTACTATAATAAGTGTATGCAGGCCCCACCCTTATCATTACATTGATCACAAAGTCATACCCACTAGAAAAATTCATTTTTTTTCTATACCAAAAATTTAGGAAAATCCTCAGTGCTTAAGTAAGTATATTTACCAGAGTGAGAAACCCCACATGCTTTTTTGACAGGATCTGCAAAAACTATAGGTATGCAATCAGCACCAAGAGCTGCTATTGTGATTTCTCTCTGGTTCAAGGTTATTCCATTAAAAGATCCAGGCTCCTCCCTTCCCACAATCCACACTTCATTGGCATGATCAGTCTAATATCAAAGATACATGATAAAAAGATTTTGAAAATGGGGTTTCTCATAACATAAGCTTTTCTGAAAGCACTTATTTCAGTGCAAAATTGTGTAACCAGCTTAAATTACTAGAATTCAATAGGTCTATCATTTTAATACAAAACACTACATGCAATATCTCTGCATGTTTTATTCAGAGGAATCTAGGTCTTAAAGCTCATGATGAATACCTCATACTTGAAATGGATACTAGTCTTCCAAAAAGTAGAAATTTAACATTTTAATAAGAAATTAAAATTAATTATCAAATTAATATTGCATTTATTTTTCCTAGATGCAAATAAAGCTAGAATTTTGTAAGGAACAAGATATTCTACCTTAATTATGATGCTAGTGTTTAGAAAATAATGGCTTTTCTTTCTTACCATTCAGGAATCTTTCTTCTACATCAAAAAGGACAGAGTTACTATACCAAGAATTAACCATACTTTAAGAATTGAAGAGCTCTAGATAAAAAAAATCCATATGTGTGTGTGTGTGTGTGTGTGTGTGTGTGTGTG